CCAAATTTGGCAGTAGGCATCTTGCTGTTAGGAAGACACATTGCAGCAGCTCTCTAAAACTGTGCTCAAACTTGGCTCCGCTACAAGCACTTGAAAACCCAGTTTGCGTGCACCTGATGGAGCTCTCAGTTTTTCATCTAGAATTCCCCCGAGATGTCTGAGTGGAGCAGGTGGTGGTTATTGCCAGCTGCCAGGGGCTGCTAAGGGCAAATGACAAGTGTGAAGCTGGTCTCTGCCAAGCACCCCTTGCCCCTTCCAGCACCAAAATGGTCAGGGGGGAAGCCATCTGAGCGAAGGCATAAGAGGCAAAAGAGAGACTGTGGGCAGAAAAAAGGAGGTGGAGGAAGAATCCAAAAAAAGGCCTGGGTGGGACTAGGTGGGAGACCATGTTTTTTTTGCCTTAGAAGAGGTCACCAAAGAGGAAAGGTTTCTGGGATCTTCAGCAGCCCCAGCTCTGCTGTAGCCTGAGAGATGGATAGCCAGGGAATGAGAACAGCAGGCTTCACACTAACCAATGTTGTTGCAAGAGACTTTGCTTCTCCAGAATGAAAAATTGCTGAGGTTTGTGTCCATCTACATCTGAGGTGTTAACGGGAAAGCAGTCAGCCTGCTGGGATTTGGACAAAAAATTTCTTAAAGCACATGGAAATATTCATTCCGTGCTCTGTGACCAGTGCTTCCTGGTTGGCTCCAGACTTGAAGCAAAGAGGGAGGGAAGGTGGAGCGTTTCTGTGGCCATTGTCAGGGTTTCACCCCACCGTTGTGGAGAGAGAAGTATGTGATGCTGGGTAATTACTGAAACAGCAGTTTTCATAACCAGGCACTAATCTGTGACCTCCGTGTCCAGGGTGCCAAAGCTGTGATCCCGCAGGAAGATCTGCAGAAGCTGCTTGCAGCCTCAGCTGGGAGCTGGGCATGTGCCATGGACAGCTGTGGGTGGCACCTTCTAGACTTGTGCTCTTGGTTCCAACACTTAGAAGGTCATTTGACTCCACTGGTGGCATCTCTGAGGGGTGCTTTGGGGACAAATAACTATCTGCTCCTCACCCATGCAGGCACTGAAGACCACTGTGGAAAAGCCCATCTAAACCATCTTTGTGGGCAGGGTGTGAACAGTAGGTGGCAAAATAGACTTTGAAGACAAATGCTGTCATTAAATCTACATTAGTAAATGATCATCATCTATTCTGTGCACTGAATAAAAGGAGGGTCCTTCAAAAAGGAGATATACCATGTGATTATAATTAAATATGATCTTATGGAGAATATGGGCAAAAAGGCTCAACTAAAATTGCCTAAAAGAAATTTTTACAAAGGTAAGCCCAGCACTATATTGCTTCTGGATGCTTTGTTTTGCAATATTAATAAGTTTTTTCATAAAGCTGCCTTTCTGTTTGTATTTCAGTGTCTTCACTCAAAGAGTGGTGATGTCTGCATGGAACTTCTGCAATTCCACTCAGCTCATCTCTTGCCACGGCAGGTGTTGTTCAGAGTGCTGTGCCTAAGCCGGGTGATTTCAGCTCTTCTGTGATCTGGGTGACGCAGAAGGACAGACGGGGTCTTTGTGTGGGGTTGAAAGGAGAGCCTTTATTGACCTTCTTCCCCAAAGGGGTCCAGGGACAAGGCGCCACTCAGGCAGGGAAAGCCGGGGATAGATAGGGATCGCGAGGGGCGGAGCAGAACACCAGGACCAATGGGATGAGGGAACAGGGGTGGAGTGAGGGGCAAGGGCCAATGGGAGACATCGAATCTGCATGTCTCAGCAAGGCATGCTGGGAGAAGCCTTTTGCCTCACCCTAAACTGAAGTTGTGGCCTGAAGGGTTTTCCCTTGAGGGAGGGCTGTGGACTCTTTCCCTGTTCACCCACAGGCCTCCACAGTCTCTAAACTGACTGTGCACAGTCAAAGACATGCACTCAGCACAGCAGGGCAGCAGTTAGCTAAAATTAATATGTATGGATTTGGAGGGTTTTTTCCCTGACTTGAAAATTGCTCAAAATATTACTTTATTGAAAAGAAATGCAAATGAACAGCTTTCATTCTTCAGAAGAATAATGACCCTTTTCTCTTTCTCTCTGTCAGAAAGAGATTTGTTGTCTATTGTTTCTTTGCTGGCTTTGAAAACTGTTCTTTAGCAATTATGATGCTATAGCACTTGTTCCACTCCTTTGCAGGACTGACCATCCATGCTGCTAGCCAAAAGTGGAGGAGCTGTCAAGTTTGCAGGAAAGGATCATTTACCAAGTGGCCTTTTGGGAAGGTGTCAGTTGGGAAGTCAGTGTCAGCGTAGGAGTTTTTTTCTTAAGCTGATGCATTTCTCAGGTTGCAGCTTTGTCCCTTTATGTCAAGGCTGAGTCAAACAAAGCAGAGTAGCTGGAGAGTTCCTGTTCTGATGGCCTTCCATCAGAAGGGTGATGTTCATTAGAATTTAATCCACTTCCTGACCTTCGAACAACTATCCTTGTTAGAGCCCACAGGTGGATGATGGGAGTCCAACAGCCTTTGGCTCTGGCCAGGGTAAGCAAAACTGAAAGGACCTAGGTGAATATTTTTCAGCAGACATTCATTAGGGTCAAGATTAAAATAAAGTGAAACAGGCAAGGTAACATCCTTTTACTGGGGGGGTGATGAGGAAATGTCCACTGGCATTTTTGAGACCATGTTTCCCATCTTTCCTCTCTCAGCTGGGTCATGAAAACTGATGTGGGAGGAAGCCCTTGATCACCTTTTACCATTCAGCCATCTCCTGCTCAAGCCAGCCCACTGAGTAGGGAACTGTTGCAGCTCAGTCTCCTGAGACCTCCCACTAGAGCTGTTTGAAATGTGGAGGGTACTCAAAAGCCAACAAGCTCCCAGGCTACACCGCAAACAGAGTTCAGCTCTGGCAGCTCTCCCAGGCCAGACTTGCCCAGAGTGCTCTTTGTCCCATCAGCCACGTTGTTAATAACCTAAACTTTATCAGCCCCAGCAGAAAGACCTAAGGGACATCACTGGTGATCATCCACCAGCTGGACTCTGTACTGTTGTCACTGTCTGTACTCTGTCACTTCTTTCAGACCCACAATCTGAACAATCATCCACCCACTTTATCAGCTACCCTGCCAGTCTGTATATCATGGATTTAGCCAAGAGGGTACTGTAGGAAATGGTGTTAAAAGCTTTACAGTGTCCAGGAGATAAATGAGACACACTGATCTCATGCTTTGAGGAGTTTGCCCTCAAAGAGCAACCAGCTCTCCTGGGCCCCTTCACTCTCCAGGGCAACTCCCTTTGGGATTCTGTCAAGGAGATCCCTGGATGAAATGAAACCTGTTCTCCTGCAGGTAAGGGCAGTAATGCTGTTGGTACTGCTGATTTCTTGCAGGATTTAGTATTTCACAGTTTCATGGTTGCTGCAGGCAAACTCACTGTTGACCATCATATCCTGATTCAAGCCTTCCTATTTTGTGAACAGCAAACCCAGCAGAGCGTCTCCTCCTGTTGTCTTTTCAATCACCTGTGTCATGAAGGTGTCTTGAGCACACTCGAGAAACCTCCAGATTGTGCCTGACCGCGCAGCCCTTCAGTCAAGGCACACTGTGGGTTAGCCCAAAGGCCTGTGATTGCGTGGGATGGCTCTATTGGCTATGTCTCCTTTCCCAGGAAGTCTGTAGTGAGTGCCTGGCACAGCACTGCCCATAGCGCTTTGCCACCTTCTCCTTGTCCACAGGCTCTCAGATGGCCCACCACCTCTGCCATGGCCAAGTTCTGGGCACTCCTCTGCACAGCACACGACCTCTCCTCACTGTTTCCAGCCTGTCCTTCCTGAAGACACAGTGCCCTTTGGGGCAGCTCTCCAGCTGTGTGAACCACCCCGGCATGTCTCTGTAACTCAAAAGAAATCATAATTCTGCACTGGTCTGGGAGCTGGTAATTCCCCCACTTGTTTCCCATTCTACATGTTTGTTTCAAACTACTTGAGACAAACCCTGAACCCTGAGTCATGATGCTTTCAAAACAGGATTCTGCTGTGGAGACTCCAGCAAGGTAAGGTCAGCACACAGATAATGAGCCTGGAGGTGCCTCCCCTGGCAGGGGAAAGGCCATTGGAGGCCCTGGCCGCACACCAGCGCTGCCTGCACAGATTTGCAGGTGCATTGCCTTGCAGCCTGAGCTCTCCATCACTCCTGCAGCAGCTCTTCCATTAGGAGTCATTCCTCTGACCACGCTGAGATCACAGATCAAGCTGTGATGGGTTTACTGCTTCTTTTTATCTAGAGCTGACTGTCCTAAGGGCAAGGCTTATTGATCGCCGGTGGCAGGGATGCCAGGAGCACACAGCTGTGCTGCTTTAGGAAATACTTTGACTAACTCCATAACTGTGGTGGCATCACCGCTGCCCCAAAGGCTGCATATTGGAGGCACCTCGTAATAAGTGTGACTTCTTCCATGTACCTGAGCTGCCTTTTACAAAAGCCAAGGTCATTGTGCTGACTGACACTTGGAGTTTGATAAAAATTTTTAATCCTAGAAACAAATTATTTTTAAAATCTCAGGGAACTGTTTTAAGCTAATTTCTGTAGTAAGTGCTTTCTGTAAGGGAATGTTTGATCTAACCTGGACTTCCTTAAGTTCCAATGGAACCCACCCTTAGCCTGCAAACAGAAACCGCTATGATCTGTGTTTAGGAGCTGCTTCTTCCTTGACTTGCCTGTACCAACAAGAAAGTGACTCAAATTTAAACAACCTTTTTCCAAATCGCCCCATGAGAATGCAGCAAGACTGGCTGCTTGTGAACTTCTCCTTGTCTGTGAGAGAAGGCACCCAAACAGCCAGGGCTCAGCCAGCCCTGCCCCACTCAGGGCACTGTCAGCACCAGCCACCACTTTCAGCAGCAACAGAGCCCTCTGAGCTCCGGCCTTGGGGAATGAAGAGGGGGAGGAGGAAAGCAGGGGGGATGACCCTCATCACCACGCCCCGAAGGCTGAACTGAGCAGAGGAGGAGCTTAGAAGTAGAGCCAAGTTTCACAATCAAAAGCCAGCCAGTGCAGGGAGAAGGGAGCAGCAGAAAAAGGCAGTGTGGGGAAGAGGCGGAAGCAAGGAGAAAGGGGCAGCTGTCAGGGCAAGAAAGTGAGAGAGGAGAAGAGGAAAGGCAAAAGTTGGCAGTGACAGTCTCGGCTCAAAAGAGGAAGAACAAGGAGTAGACAGTTTACAAAATGGCATTGCTCCTGTGGCTGGGGTCCCAGCTGTCATCCATCTGGAGCAACATCTCTGTCCTGGGAGTTTTTCTTACAGTCTTTGCTTTACTGCTTGACTTCATGAAGCGCAGAAAGAAGTGGAGCCGTTACCCACCAGGCCCAACCTCGCTGCCGTTCGTCGGGACCATGTTCTCCATTGACTTCCAGAAGCCCCACCACTCCTTCGGCCAGGTGAGTGGCAGCCCCTGAACAAAACACTGCACATACAATCCACCATGGGCCCAGGAGGCGCGGGTCACACCCTGGCGTCAGCTACAGTTACATAACACAGAGAACAGGAATTTCCATTTCCCCTGAAAAGCTCTAGATAGAGCTTTAGACTAACTAGCAAAAAAAGATAAAAGAATGTAAAAGTATGCACACAGGATGATAAACATAGCTAGAAACTGTGGATAAACAGATAATGAGGAATATGGTGGGTGTTTTGGCAAGGTATGTAACAAGAAACAAGAGCACATGACCAAAGAAAAAGTTCAAGGGAAGGTCACCTGTAATATTGAAGCACTCAGCGAGTCTGACTCCCAGAGACAGCTTTCAATGACCCTCTAGGACCATGAAAGGACTTCCAGTAGGAGGCAGATGCGTGCAGGTAAGCCCTAGGAAAAGTGATGTTTATGTAGTAGCTGGGAAGCATGCTGCTATGGATATGTACGATCATGATAGAATAAATACCCTGTTGTAAAGGGTATTTCATGACACCCATTCAGTGAGAGGAGTCCAGTGCTACAGTAAAGCATACCTGCTTTGCAATACTTCAAATTATGTTAGTTTATTTTTGGCCAACTTCAGTATCACTACACTCTTCCAGGATGAAGCAAGTCACTGCTCAAGGACACTGAGCTGGCCGGCACTGCCCAAGAGATAATCGTGCACCAACACTTCCCAACCTCTATCTCCCCATCTCTGTATGAGCTCAGTGGGAGACCACGGCTGTGCCCCCAGTGAGAGATGCTGCTGCTGTAGAGCTGGCTGCCAGCCTGACCTGTGGCCAGGCCTGGAGACAAAGGAGCAGGGGTTGTACAAACAAGGGAGACAAATATCTGTGGGCTGGGAATGTGGCTGCAGCAATGGCAGGCTTCCCTGGGAGCTAGTGAAGCACGCCTGCAGGCATGTGACAGTTTGAGTTAAAGAGACCAGCTTGTGGGATTTGCCCATGCAGCAATGCCCAAATCTCAATAGGTTCCCATTCAAACTCAGGGCTTAGTTTTTCTTAAAGGGAAGGCAGGGCTTTCACAGCTGCAGCATATAAACCAGGGGTGTTTTGTGCTTCAGCTTGCAAACTCGAAAGACCTCTTTTCTAGTTCAGCTGCCTGTCCAAAACCTGCCAAGTGGAGAAACTAAGTTTAGCATTTGTATGATTTGCTTGCATGTAGTCCAAAAGCTTACCATTTTCAAATCACATCACGTTAGAGTCATGCTGACCACAAGCTTGACCAGTAATCATTTTTAATGATCTGTCTCTAGTGCCAGTGAAGTGCTAATTCCCTTTTCAACCCTACTGCAAATACAGTAATATGTACTTCAATTCCTTGCTATGCTACAGTACAGAAATCAAGAATCTTCGCTTTTAAACAAAGAAAAAAAGACGGGGAAAAAAAAGTAGAAGAAAACTGTGGGGTATTGCTGCTCTTGCACTGTCTTTAAACAATGTGCTTCTGAGCTTTGCTCAGTGCTCCTGACCAGCAGGGGAGGTTTGACCTGCCTTCCCAGGAGTCCATGTCCCATTAAAGGGCTTACATATCACCTTATTATCAATATTTCCTTCAGCAGAAGCAAACTAACTCAGAACTTAGTCTTTCAGATCAAAATAAATAGAAACATTAGGAAATAATTCATTATTGAGCATGCAGTCTTTAAAAGTCCCCAAAAAGGTTCTTGACAACATAAAAAGTACTTGCACAATGTTGATGACAACAGTTTGGCCAGGATAGGGGCATTCTAAATTTTTCCACTTTCAGGGCATTGATCCCTGCTACAGCTGCTGCTTGGCACTGTTTGGAGCTGTTGTACTGCAAAGATAAAGGTCAAAGATCAGCTGAAGATCTCTGGATAAAAGTACCTCAAAGGTCACTCAGTAGTAAATGCCCTCAGGAAGGATATGATGATAATTTCTGACGTTACACTCAGCTCATTTTCAGGGACATGTTTGTTTATCTTGGCAGCTCCAGAAGAAGTTTGGAAACATCTTCAGTCTCCAGAACTGCTGGACCAACGTGGTAGTGCTGAATGGGTACAAAACATTGAAGGAAGCCCTGGTCCACAAATCGGAGGATTTTGCTGACCGGCCGCCTTTTCCGATATACGAACATATGGGCTACGGAGAGAATTCTGAAGGCAAGTCCCATGGAAATGGATGTTCTTTGATGGCACCAGCATGAGAAGGATTGGGTAGAGGCAAGACTTCTCAGTGCAGTGCACCTTTGTGTGTCCTCCTGGTCAACCTCCTTGCATGTCTGGCACCCTTTGGTGGTGACAAACTCAGATTTGATTACTGGGGGCTCCCCTTAGTGGTTGTAGTACAGCTCCAGCAAGCACACACTTCTTCAGCTGTGTAAGGACACTGTAAATGGTACAACCTTTCTGCCAACACCCAACAGCCCCAAATTAGTGCTTATGGTGCTTATGTAAGACAAAATGCTGATGCAAAATGTCACACGTAAGCTGTAGTAAAAAACCATGGTGACTTTCATTCAAGACAGAGTATTTTCCTGCATCCTGCCCACATCACATCCTCGGCTGCTGTGTGGTGGCACAAGCTGCTACTCAGCTCACACAAGCCATGGGAACAGTGCTGAATGGGTTGACCCCTTTATCCTTAGCAGCCTTTTTGCTCCCATTGCATCCCCCTGTACCTTTGCCAGCCACGCACAGGCAGTAGAAGGTGCAGTGATCCATTTCTGAATTGCTGTCTGAACAAGCTGCACAAGGTCAGGGTGTTTCATCTATCCATACAGACCTGTGCCTCCAGACTCACAACTGCTGTTCTCTAGCAAAATTCACTTGATGTACAAGTCAGGTATCTGACATTTCTTGCTCATCTACAATTCCAGGGATTATTGTAGCAAGATACGGGCACGTCTGGAAGGAGCTAAGGAGATTCACACTCTCTACGCTGAGGAACTTTGGGATGGGAAAGAAATCCCTGGAGGAGCGAGTGATAGAGGAAGCTGGATTTCTTTGTTCTGAAATCAAGTCTGAAGAAGGTTTGTGACATCCACAAGGATGGGGAAATCACAGAAAAAGGCAATATGGTAATGCAGGGAGAAGCAATACTACAGCCACTCCTGTTTGCATGCAGTGCTCTCTTCCCTTGCAAATGCAGTGTTTTCAGTCTATGTGCCCTCCTCGGAGCCACTTCTGCTTTACACAGTGGGGCTACCGTTACACTAATCCATTTGAAACAGTGAACAAATAGGAAATTCGAAATAGTGAGGTAAAATGGAATGATTGCCAGAGCTCAGTAACTCTAACTTGATGAAGTTTAGTGAAACATATTGATATTATCACATGCAATAAAAGTGCAGTTGGGAGTTCACAGCCTGTCATCTAGACAGAGAAAGAAATGTTACCTGTCAAGTCACAGAACAACCCTGCAGCTCAGTTTTTCTTGGGAGTTTTCTTCTTTAAACAAAGATAACCAAATAGTAGTAAGAATGAGATGATCATCTTTTTGTAGTGTGATGCTTTGAGTAGTTTGGGGGCTTTTTCTCCTGGTGTCATCGAGGTGGCATTTGTGTATTCTCATGGCTGGCAGATGAGGTCCAGCAGTTTGGTGTTGCTGAGCTTCATGGCTTGGTCTCCATTTGTTTTTACCAGTACTACTGAACGGGACTGCCTTGGCTTGCCTGGTCCCTGCTGCTGAGCCAAACAGCGGCACCTGTGGTGTTTTGCACCCCAGAGAGCTCTGGCTCGCTGTGAGTTGCTGCTGAGCACGTGGGGACAAGTCCAGGCATGTCCCGAGCTCCAGTGCTTATGGCTGGAGCTTGTTGGTGGAAGAGGGTCACTCCTCAGGCCTCCCTGAGCTGGAGAAACCTTTAAGGTGATGGTGAAGGAAGGAGTGGGTGCTGATGGAGGGTTTAATCCAGAGTTTTTATTCTGGGCTGCATGGCCTCTAAATCCAGGAACAGCTCCACAAGAACCCTGGGCGCATGGTGTGCTCACCTTTTTAACCTGGGGGAGGAGGGGGAACACAGGGAGCACCAACCAGGTACGGGGGGAGGGGGTCTCAGGTGAGAGGGACACCTGGATGGGCCAAGGGCCCCCCAGGGATGGAGAGCATCCTTTGAACCTGCCAATCACTCGATGCTCCCCTGGAATTTCTGGGATGATAGACAGCAGGAGTCAAGGTGGGGAAAAGGAGAGCTGACTGACACACCACCTGGGGAAGGAAACTTCAGGGAGAGACAGGGAAACTGAGGCACACCACGACAAACACCGCAACAGGTCTCCATTTCCATTTCCAGGTAAATCTTTTGATATACATGTTCTCTTAAATAATGCTGTCTGCAACATGATCTGCAACATTGTCTTTGGAGACCGTTTTGACTACGATGATGAGACATTCAAGAAGCTGTCACCGTTATTTCAAAATTCCTTGGATGAAGAAACTGGATTCCTGCCTCAGGTAAACCACAATTTGTAAGAAGCTGCCCTCTATTGCTTGAGAGAATTGTGTTTTCATCATTTTTATTTTTTTGCATCATGTAATATCTTCTCTCTCTTTCTTTGTCGCTCTCTTTGGTTCTCACACCCCAGCTTCTTAACGTGGTGCCCATTTTGGTGCGCGTCCCTGGAGTGGCACAGAAAGTCTTTCGAGCGCAAAAGGAGTTAATGGACTTCATAGATGTGGCCTTAGATAAGCACAGGAAGACCTGGGACCCTGCTTACACCCGAGATATCACAGATGTGTTTTTAAAGGAAATGGAGAAGGTAGGGTGACACTAGCAAACCCTCCAGGGTCAGGAGTAGTTTCTTTGCCTCTTCAAGCTTGTGAAGCTGACTTTCCGCCTAGAGCTGCACAAAACCTCTTACCAAATAATATCCTATTTTTTCATTCCACGTTGCATCTTGAGAAGAAAGGTATCCTTCATGCTGGAACTTCTTTCATTGTCTTAAGACACCATGTTATGTGCTGATGTTCTTGCTTCCATTTTCTGCCTTCACATTTCCTTCAGAATCTAGGAACTTCCTTCTTTCCAGCCTACCAAAATTTGAAGGCTTTTAAAAGGCAATGATTGAGAACTCGCTAAATGTCTTAAGTTTGTACCAAGGAACAAGTCAGCATGCAAGATTCTGTGTAATGTCAGTGCCTCAGTGACTGATGCCTCAAAATCAGTCACAAAACTGGAGCAACAGATTGATGTTTGGTGTCATTGTCCCATCCGTAACCTGCCTTTAAACCAAGTTATGATTTGAAACTAGTGTCTCCTTTGGGATATATAATTTTGAATTGTTTGCTAAGAACTAGTTTGCTAGATATCAGAGGAAGGCCTAAATCTGAACTTCACTGAAATTAAAAGGAGTCTTTCCTTGAAATCAGTCAGGCACAAAGTCAGTATAAAATCAAAGATATTTGGGTCAGCCTGTCCATCTGCCATATGTTTCTGCACATGGATTCACTAAATTTCAAGTGCCAGATGAGCAATATTAGCAAATTCTGCTTGCACATCGCTTCCACCATTGAAGTCCTCAGGCTGGGCTGCTGCTCTGCATAACAAACCCTGCCATGCTGTGGGGGTCGGGCACCTCCAGCCCATGGGCAGAGCAACGCGACCCTCCTTACTCTGCACTGAGCACTACAGCCTGGGGGTGGGTGCTGCCTCTTGTCACGTCTCTCTTGTGCTCACTACCATCACCTGATAGCCAGTCTGATAAATCCCTCTCCTGAGTTAACTTGGGTCAAGTCCGTCCCAAACTCCCTTGTCTGAGATCTTTTATTGGAATAACAGTTGAGTCTTAAATTCATTATTAATTGCTATCCATATTACAACAGCATCTAAATATACAGAATAACTTAACAGAAGCTAGTCCCAAGGAAAGGGAAGTATAAAGAGGATTAGAAAAGACAAGCAGATGAACTCATGCAGAGAGCTTGTCATATCTCATATGCTAACAAATTTGAGCTCAGTTAGCATTTGAATGAGAGACCACTTTTGCTAGAAGTGGTGTTGCAGACTTAATAGGCAGCAATAATCCTTTAACCTGATAACCCTGATTTTTTTTTTTTTTTTTTTAATTAATTGCAAGGAAATACCAGGGCAGGAGCAGCAAGAATCTGTAAAGCATAGCTAGAGATAACACCCTTAAAATAATGCTAATTTTTCATTTGCCACATCAATGCAGCTTCCTCTCTACTCTGTGGCTTTTATCATCTGATCAAACATACATAACTGTGTTCCACCTCCTCTGTGGGAAGAATTTACAGTAGTGACAAGGGCCTGCTGTCTGTTTGAGCTGAAAGCACAAGGTGTTTGCTTCTGTCCTGAAGGCAGAGGTAGCATTCTTCTCTGAGTATATTGGAGGTGGTTGAGGACCTTCAAATACAGGCGGTAACAGGGTTACAAAGTACATCACTCAAGCTCAGACTGTTGCTTGTGCTGTGCTCTACTCTCCCAACAAGAAAGAGGAACACATGCTAAAAACTGGATCTAGTGTTTCTCAGCACTTCTCTGGGCAGAGGTCTAATTGCCTAGCAAGTTCCCCAGATCCAGTCATCCACTTTTTTGCTCTCCACAGGGTAAGGTAGCTGAAGAGAAGGGTTTCCACTATAACAACCTTCGTCTCGTGGCCTTGGACTTGTTTACAGCTGGTTCTGAGACCACCTCCACCACTCTCCGGTGGGCATTGCTGTACATGATTCTCCACCCAGAAATACAGAGTAAGTCAGAAACTTACTTACAGAAGTGTAGCCTCTTTCCTTCAAGACTCATTTTTCCACAAGGATTTCACAATGACGAACAGCTTTGGTGATTGTTGGTCTAGCAGAAACAGAGGAGAAACACTTCCCAAACAGCTGTTCTGGCAGGGGGGTTGCCACGATAACAAGACTGGAGTTTGAAGGGCAGGTTCACTCTCACTTTCATTTTGGGGGCTTCACCTGGGGAATGGCCGTGGTCAGTGTACCCTCTTCCAGTATTTGCAATAGATGCTGGTTGGTTAAATTCTCTAATGCTGCTTGACCAGGTATCCTTCAAGCTGCTTAGAGGAGGGGTAAGGTAGCATATCAAGCGGCAAGGCCTTTATTAAGGATGCTTTGAGCAAAGAACAGTTACACAGAGTCACCGGTCAACTGAAAAGCACCTTCCAGTCTGGTTTCTGTTTCTGTCTCTAAGTGCCTGTCCTGTTCTCACCCAGTGCCTACAATCTCATGCAGCCAGTCTCCCATCAGCAAGTACCATCTGCTTCTGGTTCTCTAAGGGTTCTCTAATTCTTTATCTCCCCTGCTTTCAGGTAAGGTCCAGGCAGAGATTGATAACGTGATTGGCAGTGAGAGAGCCCCCACCATGACAGACCAAGCAAGCATGCCTTACACTAATGCTGTGATCCACGAAGTCCAGCGCTGTGGGGATATTGTTCCTATTGCGCTACCTCACAGGACATACCGGGACACCGAGTTGCAAGGCTTCTTTATTCCCAAGGTGACCAGATAAACAACACAGCAGCCTCTCCTTGTGCAGATGCCAGGCATGGGGTGGGGATGATCCCGTCCAACCCTGCAGTGTTGCACTTCCAGCCCCAATTACAGTCACTGTTGAGCACTAAAATAGGACATTTTGAAATGCTGAATCCAGGCAGACGGTCCTATCTGTGTTCTAGGCTTCTGCTTGTTGTAAGGGAATGCAACTGCAGTGGCAGCTCAGTGCAAAGGCTTGCTTTCCTCTCAATGAGCTGTAATATTCACTGCCTGTCAGAAGCCTAACAGGCTCTCTGGAGGCACTCAACACCAGCTTACTGGCTTTCCTGAGATGGTAGCAGTTAAATTCTAACCTCTGAAGCTACTCAAATGCCATTGGTATTCAGACCAGTTCCTCTGTGACAAGCAGCTGCCCTGGCAGCAGTGGCAGAATTCAAGTCTGGGATAGTTTTGTAATTTTTTTGTAGCCGTGTGGTATCTCCACTGATTTAGAACCTTGACAAGTGATTTGTGATTTTCCGTGGTCCCTGCGAAAGTTGGCCTTTGAAGTCTGTCGGTCAGCTTCCTCTCTACAGCTATAGAACAAGTCCAGGAGGATCAGAGAAGCAGAGGCTGTTTCCAGTGTGGAACTGTGAAATTGGCATTTGCATGCAGCAGCCTTTGAAAGGCTACAAATTGCAAAAGTTCTGGTGCTTCCGAGTGTAGGGCCGGCACCAAATGCCATTGGAGAAGGGCTCTGCTTTACCTCTGCTTCAAATAAGATGCAGAAGTGGAAATGGGTGCTGGTAGTTTGCAGACAGGGACTAGAGAGGGACCAGCACTGTTCTGTTGTGCCAAGATAATGCTGCTGTTCTCACTTAAGTTGTTTCCTCTTCTGCAGGGGACAACAGTCATCACCAACTTGTCTTCCGTGCTGAAGGATGAGACAGTCTGGGAGAAGGCAAACGAGTTTTACCCCGAACACTTCCTGGATGCAAAGGGGCAGTTTGTGAAACCAGAGGCCTTCCTGCCCTTCTCAGCAGGTAAATCTGAGGGGAGGGTCCAGCTGCAGGTCAGAAGCACAGCTGGAGGGTGATCTGCTCCCCCCGTGGCAATTCCAGCATCGATTATTGCCCTCTTTGACAGACACTTCCTCTTCCCTGTCCTGCAGGTCGCCGTGCCTGTCCGGGAGAACAGCTGGCCAGGATGGAGCTCTTTCTCTTCTTTACCACTCTCCTGCAGAAATTCACTTTCGTGCTCCCTGAAGACCAGCCCAGGCCACGTGTGGATGGTCACTTTGGAGTCACAAACTCTCCACACCCATTCCTGCTGCGAGCTCTCCCAAGATAGGAGCACACCACTCCTTTCACTGACAGACCACCACCCCCCAAACTCTGTCAGGAACATTGCAGGTCTAGGCAGGATCATGCCAGGCTCAATCTCCAGTCTGTGCACAAGGCCACATCTGTGTAAAGTAAGGATCTAGGCCAATATCTTGTTGAGCTTAATTCTAGCTGTGTAAAGTAATGATCTAGGCCAATATCTTGTTGAGCTTAATTCTAGCTGTGTAAAGTAATGATCTAGGCCAATATCTTGTTGAGCTTAATTCTAGCTGTGGTTCTCGAATCAGACAAGAGAGCTTCACTTCAGCAACAAGGTGACAATAAAATGTAGTTTCAGAGTCGTGCTTCTGGAAAATCTTACCGTCCAGGACATACATGTCCCCTTCATTCCTTCCTGTTTATTACACACTTCTTTATGTTGAACAAATATTGCATTGTCTTCATTTATAGCCTCAAAGAAAGTTTTAATGCTGACAACCCTTATGTCACACTATGCCTCCAGTAGGAGTATATAAACAAATATGGTGTTTCAGCCACAGAAGAAGGTCATTTGTGAAATACAGAAATTTTCATAAATACATTTAAAGAGAAATCCTGGTGTTTAGACTTACTATCTCCTCCAATTAAAACTTTGTTTTATTCTTGGCATTACATAAAGTCAGCTCTTGGGCAGGTTTGGAACTCACAAAGGGATAGTTACACTGTTTGAAAGTGTGTGGCCACAGATTTCAGAGCTACCTTTCTCTTTCTTCCTGCAATATTCCTGACAAATTGTTTGCAAGTTGCAAAGGTATGTTGATTTTTAAATCAGCAATAGTTCATTTACCACATCTAAAGAGACAATAGCACAAAGGAGTTCCTATGTATAACCCCCATTAAAAAAAATATCTGAAATTGAATGCACGTGTACAGTAGTAATTTTGTGTAATAGTAATTTTGGAAGCTATGAAAGCTATTGCATGATGCAAATACTTACTCATGTCATTAAGATTTGAACTTCACCAGGAACTGAACATTTATGCTTTTCATCAACAAAATAACTTGAAAGAATAAAAGTGATGTAAAATCTTCTTTCTTGTCCCTCCTCTTTGTGGGTGCCTCAGTCATGCTGAGCTCCTGCCTCAGATACTCACCTGACGTTTCTCTCCTCACATCCAGCAGCTGAGTCTTTCAAGATCACGTCAGCGTTACTGTTCTGGTCCGTTCACTGACACCGAACTGCATTTGTTCGGATTTATAGGGGCCAGCACATTCGCCAGTGCGTCTAAAGAGAACTTAACTTCGGAGAGGTCCTGGGACCCGTGTATGTGGATAAAAACTTGGGTATAGCTGAAGTAAGGAGTGTCTTTTCTAGCATGCAAGAGTGTACCGGGAGAAAGTCCAGCTGGCAGACCGAACAGCAGCCGATTGCGGCCATCCGGGCCAGAGAGAACAAATGGATCGCTCCACAGCACAGCCCTGCCTTACCCTGCCCGGCCCTGAGGGAGGAGCGGGCCCTGAGGGAGGAGCGGGCCCTGAGGGGCGCTGCGGACCCACGGCCTCAGGAGGCGGGGCCCGCCCAGCAGCTGCTCCACCCCTTGCAGCACAGTGATTGGGTGATTGGCGTTTCCTCCGACCAATCGGGTGGGAGGCGGCCGGCCCGGAAGGCTGGAGTGGCAGCTCGGCCGGCCAATAGGAGAAGTTGCCGTGCCCTGCGCGTTCCCGCGGGCGGCGGGGACGGCGGCGACGGCGGCGGCGGCATCAAGATGGCGGTGGCGGGCAAGGGAGTGGTGTCGGCCGCCGTGAAGCCGATCTTCAGCCGGGACCTGGGCGAGGCGAAGCGACGCGTCAGGGAGCTGTACCGGGCCTGGTACCGCGAGGTGCCCAACACGGGTGGGTGAGGGACGCCGGGCCTGCCGCGCGGGCTCAAGGTCGGAACGGCCTTCATGACATTGGTGAAGCCGAACGAGTGACAGCGTAGCGATTTTTAGGGTTGAGTTGCACCTTGCCGGTGGAGCGAGGGCAGAGCGCCGTGGGTGACCGCAGTAGGTGTTGTGTTTCTCGTAGTGCACCTGTACCAGCTGGACATCACGGTGAAACAGGGGCGGAACAAGGTGCGGGAGATGTTCTTGAAGAACGCCCACGTTACGGATCCACGCGTGATAGACATGCTGGTTATTAAGGTACACACAGTTCCTTCTGCTTTGTTGAAGCTGCAGAGAATGTGATGATTGGTGGCGAGTGTGATGGAGGAGAGGGACAACTTTGTACCAGCCTGTCTGGAGTGGCTGTCTCTTGCAGTTGGATTGGTAATATCTATGTCAGCAAACCTGTGGAGAAGGGATCAGGTGGCTTTAGAATTCAGCAAGTGTATGTCAAGCAAAGCGACAATTAAAATACTAAGTTTGTTCCTTATTTTTCTTGCTTGCTTGTCTTTTTTTTTTTTTTAACAACAGCAATCAAAGGGAAAATAGGTGCTGCTCTCTAGTTTACTATTAAAAATGAACTTTCCACCCTCTACAGTACTTCATTGGATCGGAAAATGATTTTCTTTACTGATTCTGAAACATGTATTACAGTGTCAGTGCTCGGTGAGAAGCTGTTTTTGGGTGGCAGAACATTCCAGCTCTGTAACACATCTGGTGGTGTTGCAGGCCTGAGAGACCTGTCTGCTTCAAAGCAATAATCAGCACCACAGCCTTCAAAATGTGTCTGAGCAACAGTAACTGACCTCTGCAGTTCTAATGCATCAGAAAGCTTCCAAACAAGGACTGCCATATTCACCTGTTTTGTTTCTTGCATTTCAAGACAATTACTCTGTCTTTACATGATGAAAAAATCTGATAACAAAATCTTTGTATGCTAGGTGACAATTCCAGGCAGTCTCATTTTGCTCTGTGCTACCATCCTATAAAACCAGTACAAAGAATGAAATAGTGAAGAAGTTGCACGTCTCAGTGGCAGTGATACTGGTGCAAAACACTTGGTAGCAGTTAATTTTACAGCTGAAGTGTTGCTCTTCACCCAAATTCAGCAGAGGTGGTCAAAAGTTAGGAATGTTGTGTAGAATTTTATGGGAGATGTGGGTCAGGAGAGAAACAAAGCAGGTTTTAAGAAGGGGACAGAGTCTTTTGCCTGTTCACTGGGCTGGGAAGCTGTGCTGCAGAGAAATCCATGTAAGTCCCAAGGCAGGAACAGTATATTTGTGTCACGGTGCAGATGATGCATGCAGGCTGTAGGAGAACAGAACTGCTGATGCAGCTATTATTTTCATAGTGGTTTTAAGTTCATTCACAGTACTGCGTGCTTAGACTTGGGCTCTAACTGCCAATTAGTCTAAAGTTCTTTTGTGTGTGTGCAGGGGAAAATGGAGCTTCAAGAAACCATTCATGTCTGGAAGCAGAGGACTCACGTCATGAGGTACTTCCACGAGACAGAAACCCCGCAACCTAAAGACTTTCTGTCCAAATTCTATGCGGGCCACAATCCCTGAGGAACTGACTCTGTGTCTTCCTGCCTTATATTACAAATAAAGTTCTATACAATAGAAAAAAAATCCATACAAAGAGATTGTCTAGCATCTTAGGAGCCTAATGGTGAATCCAGAGCATGTGCAAGTGATTATGATCTGTCTGAAGAGCTGTCATTTCCTAGTTTTGCCAGTGTGTATTTTCAGCGGATGGCATTTATCCCGTCACTTGCCCTGGGGTGTCTGCTGAATAACCACAACACAGCCTGGCTGTGGGTCTTGTGCTTGGCCTGCAGCCCCATCTGTAGATGTTAGCTCTGTGAGGAAAAGGGCAGGCCTTCAGAAAAGCCAGTGTACTCCCAGAAACGTTCTTGTGCTTGAGGGACACGTGTATTCATGCAGTGTCTTGGCAGTTGCATCTCGTGACTTGTGTTGACCTTCTGTTTTTTATTGGACATTAGTCTCCTTTGTTTCTCACAGAGAAAATATCAAATCCAGTAGGCAAATAAATCCTTGTGCAATAAAACATCAGCAGAGTCAATTTCTCTGCTGTAAAATGAATTACCTGGAAAAGGGGGATTTGTACTGTTTTCTAGAATAGGAAAGCTCTAGAAGAGCTTCTGAAGCCTGTCAGGAGCTGGTGTCCCACCATCACCTCATGCACTGAACCAGGGATTACTAGTTCCCTTTTGAGAGGGATAAGGAGAATTTATTCTCTCAACAGAGAACAGGTTTTCAGCAAGTAACTGGGTACTGGAGCTCTTCCAGATGTGACCAGCACTGGATAGTTGTAGTGCACTCAAATTTTTTTTTTCCAGCCTAAATAAACATCGTTTTATCCTGTAAGTACTGGGGCTTTCTTTCCCATGAGGACTGTAACACAGCACTCCTCAGGGATGTGTGCATAGGTACCTTGGAGCTCCAGGGTTGGCATGTTTTTAAGGACAGGGTTGACGGAGTCAGGAGGGGCCCAGGAGGGACTGTGGGACAGCATTGAAAAGGATTTTGGCAGCATATAAAACAGAAGTAGGTAGATGTTTGGCTGCAAGAGCAGATAAACTGGAACAACTACTTCTCAGGTGGCTTTGGACAAGGAGGGGGCAACTCAAGTGCCTCAAGAACCTGACAGCTGCCTTTAGCTGCAGCTCTTGGGGTTACTCAGATTACAGGCTCCCTTTTCTCTCAGTAGCCATGCTGGAGAGTTATTGAGCAAACATTAAAAGCTGTGCCAAAGAATAAGGGAACAAATGTGGTTTTGGAACTATACACTGCTTCTAATTCAACACCAATTAGGAAGAAGTGGGCAGGCAGGAGGCCAGATCTAGTGACCAGAAACCATGAGACAGTGGGGCAGTGCTGGCTGAAGAAAAAGAAACAACTGACCAACCTCTCAAGGTTTCATTTTGAGAGAACAGCTGGTCTGCTGTGACTAAAGATACTCTTCTGTGCCATAACAGCAAATAAGACCTTTTAAGTCTATGATACAAGGATTTAAGTGCAAGAACAAACACTTTTATGAAAAGAGGAGTTGAAGTTCGTACAATGAAGAAAATAAATACCTTAGGGCTCTTTCAGAAGGAAGTACTGAGCTACCTAGGAAATATATATTAGCTACTTGGAGCCTGTGTTCAGAGATGAAATGCTATAAAACACACGAGCAAGTTCATTTGCAACTTGTGATCTCAGCCTTTACCAAAGCCACTCAAAGCTTTAACTCTGTGATGATAATACTGTCTTTCATCCTCACTGAGGTGAAGTTAATGACACAGACCCCATCAGATACAGCTGCTACGTTGTTGAACAGTGCCACTGTCAACGTGCACTCCATTCTTTAACAGGGCTGTGTTGTGGAGCTGCTGCTTCCCCTAGGATTCCACATGTCCTGTAGATCAGTACTGAGTTACTGAAAGGACTCAGAAGAGAAAATAAGCATGAGGATGTTCCCTACTGGAACAGACATCCGGAGATAGAAAGGTTAACACAGAAGAAGAAAACCACGGGACCAAAGTTGCACATGTCAATCTCTTGATCTTTAATTAAGTGTTTCCCATGTTGCTAATTAAAGGCATCCCAAGCAGTCTTTGATGAGGTGAGCATCAAGGTGTGTCCAAGGATGCAGGGCCTATCAAGCACATCCTTCAACCCTGATCTACAGATTTCCAGCATACAGAGATGTGCAGGACACTCACTGGCAAAAGGGGATACAAAGACCCCTGTCCCCTTTAGGAAGGACAAAACACAGGTGACAGATGTTGGAACCATTGTTTTGTCAATGGCTTTCTCCCTTCTGGTCTTCTGTTCCAGTGCTGCAAATAGAAGAACAAGCTGTTACAGATACACTACTGAGCTGCAGCCTGCATCCTCCTCCCAAAACTACACAAGATTGGGTTTACATAATGGGAGTTTCCAACAGGCCAGTGCAGACTTTGCAGTATTTTAAGTCTTAGCTTTTAGCTGCACAGTGCATGCTGGAAAACCCCTTATCAACTAGAATACATCCACCAAATTGACTATAAATCTACATTATTTACAACAACTCTAGAACAGTTTCTTTGTTCTATAAAGAATCAAATACACCTAAACTCAAATCTTTACACAAAAACAAGCTAAACAGAATAACAGAAAAGGGTAGAAAGTGTAGCACAGTGCAGATAAAGGTGAATTATTTCCATTCTTCCTTTCTGCAATGAGTCTGAATGGTCCTACTACTCCAGAGATCAGTGTTGTAACACCCACCAGACAGTTTGTCCTGATGGGTTCTGGAATGCTCTTAAATTGTTCACCTATATCAGAATTTCAGACAGTACATGATTCTGTTTTAAAAGAGTCATTCTGTGAGTTAGGAGAAGACTTTTAAACAGATAAACAAGTAGAACAAAATCATGCAATTGTTTATGTTGGAAAAGACCTTCAAATTCATTGAGTCCCAGTTGCTAACCCAGTACTGCCAAGTCCACTGCTAAACCATGTCAAGTGCCTCATCTGCACCGTTTATGTTGGAAAAGACCTTCAAATTAATTGAGTCCCAGTTGCTAACCCAGCACTGCCAAGTCCACTGCTAAACCATGTCAAGTGCCTCATCTGCACCTCCTCTAAACACCTCCAGGGCCCCACTTCCCTGGGCAGCCTGCTCCAGTGTTGGACAATCCTTTCCCTAAAGAAATGTTTCCTAATATCCAATCTAAACCTCCCCTAACACAACCTGAGGCTATTTCCTCTTGTCCTGTTGCTTGTTATTTGGGAAAAGAGACTGAACCCCACCTGGCTGCAGCCTCCTTTCATGTAGTTGTAGGGAGTGATAAGCTCGCCCCTGAGCCTTCTTTTCACCAGGCTAAACAGCCCCAGCTCCTCAGCCACTCCTTGTAACAGGTGTGTTCAGACCCCTCAGCAGCTCTGCTGTCCTTCTTTGGATGTGTAATGTAGGAACACTGAAGTCTCTCTGTTGTCTGCAGTACAGACCCTCACTGACTACATTTTATTTCTGACTCAGCTGGCAAGATCTAAAACACCATCACTTTTTCCAGTCTCTAAGAAATGCATGGCGTGGAGATTGCACAGATACCAGTATGGCCTACTCTGGTAAGAAACAAAAAAGTTCATAGCCAAAGGCATATCCGTGTCCATGCGTTTAACTGCAAGTGTATATTTTAGGCTGTTGCTGGCTGTATTTCCTTGTCTGAGATTCTCCTGCCTGCCCCAAGCCAATCGGGAAGCACAAATAATTAGACTGCTGGTGTAGTTAATGACATACCCTTTAATCATCGTCGTCGTCATCCTCTGGGACAAAGATATCGTGTTCTTCAAGTAAGGCTGCAAAGTTCTTACTGATCTGAGTGCCGACATACAGGAAAGGGATCACGACGCTGAACACTCTGAGGAGGCCGAAGGGCGTCTGCAAGGAGTCGATTGTAAAAAGTGGATCTTTACATCCAAGCAAGTCGCGCTTTGGCTGAACCGGCGCACTCCCGGCTCCACGGGCGCGCGGAGGGCCCGGGAAGCGGCTCGCAGAACGATCTGCGTTCCTAGTGCCAAGCCCCGCTCACCGCACCGTGCTTTGTTACCGTACTGCAGCGTTACAAACACTCCCGCAACAGCGAGCGGGCAGCCCGGGGCAGCGAACACCCGTGGCTTAGGGAGAGGGAGGCGGGTATCGATCTCCCCCTTGCTTCGCAGCGCTGCCTCGCTCGGGGGGACGCGGGACACGCGAGTCCGGTGAGCGCTGCACGCTCGGGGGGACGCGGGGGACCCGGGCCCGGCGAGCCCCGCACGCTCGGGGGCCGCTCCCGTCTCCCTCCCGCTGCCGAGCGCTTCCGCATCCCCGCCCGCAGCCCCTCGCTCATTGGTCCCAGGCACTGTCACTCACACCCACCTCCCCGCCCACAGCAGCTGCGCCCGCACCGATTGGCCACCGCTGCCGGCCGTTGCTGTCGCCTCCGCCCGCTCGCCCCTCGCTCACCTTAACCGGCTTGGGCAAAATGGCGCCGCTGCGGGTGACGGTTGCGCCCCGGGAGGGCACCAGCGGCACGGCCGGGGCCCGTCCCGGCTCGCCCCAGCCCGCACGCCCCGAGCGAGCCACGGTCGCCGCCAGGAGCCGCCCGGCTGCCGCTGCCATCGTCCCGCCTGCCCCGCGCCGCGGCCCAGCCCAGGCGTCAGCTGGGGTCTCGCGAGGCTTGTGGGGAGGCGGCGATGTCTGCACTGCGCACGCGCGGGGGAGGCCGCGCCCCCTCGGGGCCTGAGGGCGTCTCTCGGTGGCCCGGGGGGAGAGAGGGCCCGGGCCGCCTCCCGCCTTCCCGATCAGCGGAAAACCGGGCCGGCCGGGAATGGGCAGGCCCTGCAGACACGCCAGGGGCCTTCACGGCTCCATTAACAACGCACGGGCTACAAATCAAACCGGTTTATTCGGCTTCGAGGCATAAAATACAAACTCTAAAGAATGTAACGAGATGCGTAATACAAGTTCCGCGTGTAAAACAAACTCTAAAGAACGTAATGCAATGTATAATACAAATTCCGCGGGTAAAACAAACGGAACAATGTAATGCAATGTATAATACAAGTTCCGCGTGTAAAACAGAGGCGCATGCAAAACCATCTCTAAAAAAGGGAACACGCCCTACGTAAAACAGAAGCGCTTGGAAAGGCAGGAGTCGCCCGGAGTGTTTTGATTGTGCGGGGAGAACACCAGGCTGGTGCTGCTGGTGAAAGATGCCCCCGTGCATTGCCCTGGGGGTTTCTTTGCAGCACAGGCAGCCCAGAGAGGTAACACGGAGGGGCGGCTGCCCCAGGCACGATTTGTGCAGTAGCTCCTGTAACACAGAACATCTGGTCTTGGCCGTGATTGTCCCCACGTGGCTAAGAGTGGCCACGGGTAAAACCTTCAGGTTACTCTTCACCTGGACTCCGTGGAAAACAGCACAGTTTTACCAAAAAAAAAAAAAAAAAAAAGGATTTAACCAACTATATTAGCAGGATTGGGAGCCCTTCCTGGCGCAGCTCACAAAGGCTATGTCAGAATTGCTCTTCCTCTTCAAATTTCTTTTAAATTTTAGCAGCTTCCTCTCATCACTTGTGCACAAAAGAAAACTCTTAGAAGAGGATCTTACTTCAGTATTTTAAGACAAGTACCCATTCAGCTCCAGTGTTCAGCTCCCCCTTTGCCTAGGAACCTGTTTAGATATAGACATTCTCTATTTTTAAAAACAAAAGGGGAAAGTGGAGGCAGGAGGTAACAGTCCAAACCTGAACGACTGGAGAAAAACCCTGGGTGGCAATCAGCCTTTTACTGCTGCCAGGGACAATGTGCAGTGAAAACTCTCTGCCTTTGCTGTAATAATCTCTGCCTGCAGCAAGACAGACAGGCTGCTCCATGAGCCAGCTGAATGTTCAACCTCAGGAAGCTGAAATCCCGACCTCCTGCCCGGGGCTGCTTCAAGGCACTGCCAGCACAACCAGCTCAGCTGGGCTGGCTGGGCAGCCTCCGTCTCTGAGGAGGCAGTGCAGCACCCAGGGGCTTCCTGCCTAATGAACCAAGCGGCAGTGGTCATTAAAAACCTGTAGCCCCGCACAAAATTGGGCAAGGCTGCAACGTGGCTGCTACAACAGAGGGATGGTGAGGAAAACCTGATCGAGCACATCCAAAGTCACGCAGTGCTCTGGACACCTAGCAAAGGCCCAGGCATGGATGGCTGGGCTGAGCATAATGTGGATCAGGATTCAGCCATTTTCTTGTCAGCACTGCAGAATAAACCACAAAATTACTCCAAAGGCAATCAGATGGAAAGTGGAGCGCAGTGCCTCATGTGCAGGATTTGGGATTTAGCTGGGATATGGGCTAACGCAAAGGTAGGTAGCGTGGAAATTGTGCTGTTTAATGGGACAGATTAAAGCATTAAATGTAAGCTCTTTAGTAGTGTTATGAGCACAATCCTGGCTTATTAAAACACAGTAAGCTTCTTAAAAGTGAAACTGCCCTTAAATGAATAATACTGTCTCAGTTTCAGTTGTGACACAACTGGCTTTGTTAATTTATCTTCCTTTTCAAGCCACTCCCAATTCTTGGTTCTCATGTAGGAACTGCTACTACATTTTGATTTGTTTTGGAAGTTGAGTCTTTACTGTCAATCTGCCTTATTCTGATGTCTCAGATGTTAATCTGAGACATCAGAAATATTGTCTCTGTATTACATTTAAAAAAATAATCACAGGAAAATGCTTGACAAATTTGACCTTGGTCCCAAAATACCCATGCTCAGAGCAAGGAGGCACCAGGTAGTGCAATCCCCTGATGCTGCTGCTCTGGCATGGGAAAAGGGACACTTTTGCAGCCAGGAAAGCTGCAGTACTGAACTCTTCAAGCAGCAGGCTAGGGAGGCAGAAATGGCCCCTATGTCCAACCAACCAAGCTGCTGATGAAGCCAGGACCTTGCCCCATGGCCACCTGCTCCCAATTTTTCTGAACTGTTTTCACAAAAGCCAAACAAAAACAATCCTCCCAAACTTGAAGACCCTTGCTGTGAAGTAATACAACCACGAACTGGAGAGGACTGGATTGTGTTACTCACAAGTGAAGGTTACATTCTCACTGCCCAAGGTCATTTGTAAGATCTAATTTAAGATCTGATTTCCTGCAATATACCATTGAGCCATAATTAGGCAGGAGGCTAGAAGCTCATCATCCAAAACTACCAGAGACATATTTTAAAAGGCACCAAGAGTTAACAGAATTAATTTGATTTCTGCAGTGGCTATCTCTACAGGCTATTGCAAAGTAGGAAGCTGAACGTGTTTAAGTCCAGAAAGGTTCCAGCCAGTCACGATCTGAAAAGGGCTTTTGCTTTCTTAGCAAAGCTCTTTAATAAAAAAGTACAATAAAAACAGGTTTAATGTTTTTAGATGGAAGCATGCAACTAGATAAGGGATATTTTTAAACCCCGTCCCAAGGGCGTTCTAGTCCCTGGACTTGGCACCCACCTACTTGTACCGTGTGCCTTGTGGCCAAGGTTTCTGACCTACTGATGGACAAGTCTGTTTCCACAGTGAGGTGACAGGCGTGCCCTCCCCGCAGCCCTCCCAGCCCGCTGGGAGGATGGGATGTGCTGCAGAGATCAGCCAAGCAATGCTGACATGAAATCAGAGGGAAGCGCAGGCAGGCCAGGTACAGGCTTGGCAGAAGGCAGCAATATGGCTTTGACACTGGAGAGGTGAGCCCAGCCACTGCCAACGCCCCTAACTCACTCCCAACCTTCACTTCTCCTCCTGAGAACAGGCCTCTCTTGCTCCCCACCCTTCAAAGCCTCTGCTCCAACTGCACAGCACTGCTGGGAACTGAGGCAAAGCCGCACAACGCTGAGAGGCCCTGCAGGAGGTTGGCTCTGGACAGCCCGATGAGCTGACTGAGCCCTATATGGCACTTTGCAGGGGCTGTGGTCTAAGCAAAGGCTGAGAAATTTACTCCTGCCCAGGCAAAGAGGCTTTAGCATCCCTGTTTAGGAACGGGGAAACCTTGAGCCAGAGATATTAGCAGGCTTGGTTACTGCTTGACAGAGTCCAGACCAGCCCTGGGGAGCTCCCGGTGTCCTTGCTGTGGCTTTGGCTCCAGCTCTGTCTCCATTTCAGGCTTGCTGCTGAGTATGAGCACACAGAGAGACAGTTGCAAGACCATGATATCCACATCCTGAAGGATTTAGCTGAAAGAAGGGTTAGTGCAGATGAAAGTAAAGAAACATTGCAAAAGCCTCAGCTGCTGGCCAGCAACAGCTGCAGTGGCTCACGTGTCCTGTAGTGAGAGAGGCACAAGGCTGGAGGCACGCGCCGGGGCCAGTGGCCTGTCAGAGGCACTTCGTAAGAGCCCAGCCTTATCTGCGGCAAAAGAACAAAGGCAGAAGGACTTTGGCACAAGACCACAGACAGTAATAAGCACTGACCAAAAGCAAACTTCCACACTGAGAAACAAAACAAACAAACAAAAAAGTGGTGAAGAAGAGGTAGGGGATGAAACACCCAGAGCGTCCACCATGTCAGGACAGCAAGTGGCCAAGCCTGTTGGCTGAGGTTCATTGCATATGTGCTGATTTGGGCAGCTCCTATTTCCAGCAGAGAGAGTTTAAATAAAGGTGGCTCCCCTGATGTTACACTCTCTGGCTGTTTAAAGCCTCATAGAAATTAAATGTGAGGTTTAGAGGAGACTTGAGTCCCTCCTATGCGAAGCATACACACATCACACACTCAGCCAGTCATGAGGACGGGGGCAAGCAGCGTCCCTCATTTCACTCTTCCTGCACGCAGGACAGGCTGCCGGGCATCAGCTGGCCAGTGACTTGTGTCCTGTGGTCCTGTGCCCCCAGTCACGGGTGTCCCCTCTTCTGCCTCTCCTGCCACTCCCGTCTCAGCACTGCGATCTCCTGCCCGTACCAGTTGTGCAGCTTGGAGAAGCAGATGGTTTCTGGCGGCACTGGGCTCTCCAGCATGGCTGGTGAGACGCCAGGTGCTGGGGATCCTGTGGCACTGCTGGCAGCCGAGCGCCGGCGTGGAGGCAGGGGCGGGGGCTTCGTTTGCCCCCCATCATGGTCAGTGCAGGTGGCTCCACTGGCGACACAACTACCACTACTCCATGTGGAGTAGCCATTCTCCAGGGCGGTGGGCTTCTCCTGGAGAGGCTGCAAGGCAGGGTTGGAGAGATGCCTCTTCCTGCCAGAGCACGAGGACCTCCGTGGAGACTTATGGCAAGCAGCCAAGCTCTTGCAGGCCTCCTCCAGCTGCTTCTCCAGCTCTCTTACCACCAGCCGCATGTAGTCGAAGCTGGCCCGTGACAGTGCCTTCACCCAGGCCTCCATGGCAGCCTGCCCGTCAGCAACCAGCACGTAAGCCCTGGCACCAGCATCGTCAAAGCGGATGGCAAAGGCGAACTCCTCAGCGGCCTCGCACAGCTCCACGGTGCAGCCCTCCAGGACCACCAGCCCCACGGGCTCCCGGCTCTCCCTCTCCTCGAAGTAGAAGAGGAGGTTGCCCTTGAGGACGAACCAGCGGCGCTGGTAGGAGGTGCCATGGTGGTGGTGCCGCTCCACCCGCTTGCGCAGAAAGCCGGTGTGGTCGGCAGGCGAGTCGCAGGTGGCGTAGTGGGCCACGCTCCGCTCATTCAGCTTCATCGCCCCACCTAGGAGCAGAGGAAGAGAGGGAGAAGAGGTTGTCTTGGTGTGAGGAGCATGTCCCTGGTCCCACCAGAAGAGGCCTGATCCTGCTCCCAAGGAAAAGCAGCCCCCACTCCAGCAGCCCCTGATACAGGACAGCATCTAACCCGGCACGTTAATGCCGGGCAGGCTGGTTCCTTGCTGCTGCAAAGAGGAGGTCACTACCAGAGCCTCACCACCCACACACCTGCCTTCCCTGCGAACGCCAACACCGCTGTTTCCTCTCTTATTCCACAAGTGACCTACTTTGCTGGTTTTTAATGGAGCACTTCAAAGAAATTTGCCTCTCTGCCTGCAAGGCACTCATTTTGCTCTCTAATAGAAGGCAGGATAAGGAGAGTGTTTCAGACCCAAGGGCTCTGGAACTCATGCATCTGTCCCCTTTCCCTACTCCCTGTCTCCATGCAGGACCACCCACCCCCACCAGCCCTCCTGGCAGCAGAACTCCCAGCTCCAGCAGGTTCACCAGCAGTGGGGTGCAAGGTGTCGTACCAGCTGTGCAGGTCAGACTGCAAACCCTCGCTGTCTTCCTTGGCCAGCCTGCTCCCTAGCCGAGGGTGTCTGAGGCTTCAACGTGGCCATCTTTGGTGGAGGAAAAGGATAAAGAAGGAGTTACGAGCCAGAACAGTTTGGGACTGACAGAGCTAAGAGCTGTGTCACTCCTACCTCAGAAATCCAGGGTCCTCAGTGCAGGCAAGCTGCACTGGAAACTGGGATAGCAAAATTGGGGGAACATGCACTTGCTTCAAAGTCTGAGCCCCATCCCAGCTCAGGCCAGTGCTCCTGTGGGTTTGTTTTCTGGCTCCTGGGTTTGTTTTCGGTTTATTAGAAGAAAAAAAGAAATGTTTTGCAGAAGCTGTCACTGCCACATTTGTGGAGGCCTTTTGGCAGGCGACTCAGCAAGTCAAGGAGGACAGAGCCTTGAAGGACACAGCCAGCACAACCTTTGTGGATTGTTCAATTGCAAAAAGGATTTCCAACCGCTAAAATTCCACACATAGAAATATGCAGAAAACAAACCACAGCCACCACTTCCAGAACAGATTTGGGCGCTAGGAGCTCCTCACGGCTGAGCAACATCCAGAATCCCTCCCAGAGCCCCTCTCTCCCATCAGGGCTTGTCAGGCACAGCTGAGGACATGGGGGCACGGACCCCAGCTGAAAAATGCCCAAGACACTGATCAGACACATGGAAGGGCTGTTCCCTGGAGGTGTTCTGCCCTGGGGAGCTTCCAGCCTGGCACACTGAGGCTGCGGACAGCCGGGCGGCCCAGGCCGGCCCTGACGCGAGGGGGCTGCGGGGGTCCCGCGTGTGCCGCGCTGGGCTCTGCGTCTTTGTGTGCGGGCGCACGCCTGTGCGATGGGGCTGCGTGTGTGTCTTTGTGCGTGTCCGTGCCCCTCCGTGTGTGAGTTCGTCGTGTGCCGGCGACCCCCGCGGCCCCGCCGCCGCTCCCGCCCCGCCGGCGCCCTGCCCCGGCGCCACCTGGCCCTTGCCCAGCGCCTCCCCTACGACGGCGGGACCCCGGCCCCTGCCCGGCCCGGCTCGGCTCACCTCGGGGCGCTGCTGCTCGGCGGTGCGGGCCGGCCCGGCCCTGCCGCGG